ACGTTCGCAAATGTTTTAAACGAGTGCGCGCGGCGCTAAGGCGAGAACAAGTTGCCCTCGATCCGTGGATTTGCTGCAAATGTTTAAAAAGAATGTGCGCGGCGCTCCGGCGAACACCACATTTTGAAAACGACCCGCACTCAATCCACGAAACCCTTGCACATGTGTTAAACGGATGTGCGCGGCGCTCAGGCGAGAACAAGTCGCCCTCGATCCGTGAAACTTTTGCAAATGTTTAAAAGGAGTGCGCGCGGCGCTCTCAGCGAGAGCCACATTTTGAAAACGACCCGCACTCCATGTGTGAAGCTGTTGCCAAATTTCAAGCTTCAGAACCATAAGTGGCGTGGGCGTCTCAGGCGAAACGCCAGGCCCGCCCTAAAAACTGGCCTTGGGGTGCGGCAGGGAGAAATGATTTAAAAGGAGCAGGAATGGCGGATGACGGAGGGCTGAGGGGCCCGAGGGAGAACGAGGCTGAACACGTGGAAAATGACCAGGACAACGAAAAAGGAGGAAGGAGGATGAGGACGGACGAGGCACCTGACGACCTCGATCCTGGATCAAGGGCCCTCGATCCACGGAACACCTCTTACCTTTCAGCTCGATCCCTGAACCTCGATCGCCGAACCCGTCCTGGACGAAGGAAAAAGAGGAACCACGCAGGACGCAAGCGAAAGAGGAGAAGGGGGGAGGGGAAGGGGGAGGGGGAGGAGGAGGAGGAGGAGCGCACGACCCAAACAGAAGAAGGGCGGCCAAGGGCAAGCGACGCGCACGAAAGAGGCCCGTCCAGGGGCAAGACGGGCTGAACAACTGCATCTCCTCGAGGGAGCTTCCCCCTTATCCTCTGCAACGAATGGACTGCCCACGGAGCACCGCTTGGACTCGAAAGTCTCTCGATGCACCGAAGCGCGCGCGAGCCCGAAGAGAGCGAGCGGCGGCGGCAGGGCCGCGGGCGCCTGTTGAGCGCATCTGGTTGCGCGCGCAGTGCACCACGTCGAGGAGCGCGGCGCGCGACAAGAGAGCGTCGTCAGAAAGCGGGAAACGCGGGAAGAGAAGCAAGCGGGAGACGGCAGCGGCGGAGGGAAAGGAGGGGTGAAGCAGAAGCAGGGGGCAGTGGGCAACAGCGACGGGACAGATGACGAGGCGCCGAATGTCGTCGCCGCCCACATGCTCACAGAAGTGGCAACGCTGGGTGGGCCCAGGGAACCTCCTTGAGGTTACCCGGGAGTTGCAGACAGCTTTCAAATACGACGCGCGGATAGACGGGGGAACGATCTGCTCAAGCCTCCCGAAGATCGCGTAAAGACGGCCCAGCTGGGCATCAGAAGGGGGACCGAAGAAGTGAGAAACCCGCTTGCGGATCATCTTGCTCGCGGGCAGGTTAAATCGATCAAGCATAAATTTGGCGGTCTGAAACTGGAGACGGGGGGTGCCAAAAGCAGGGGCGGAAGGTGACGGCGCTCAGCATATCATAGTTGCGGATCAGGTTATGGGCCATGCTGCTTTCGAACCACTGGCGATCACGAAGTGCCAGGGCGATTTGCGGGACTGGGCAGATTCTTCCAGGAACGATCTGGCGGCTTGGAACGCAGGAGTGCTGAGTGCAAGCCTGTGCATGGCTGCTCTGGGCATTGCTTCCACCGGCTAGGCCTCGACACCGAAACCCACTTGGGAAAGGGCCCTCATGGATTCGCGAGTGATGGGATTCCTGGGGTTGTCCTGGATGACCTGCAAGCATTTGCACTCGGCACGTTTAGCCTGAGCAGCGGGTAAACAGCATTGGCCAACGAACGACCGCACAGAGAAGGCCCGAACGTCATACTGCACGATGCTCCTAAAGAGGCCGAGGACGAGGTGCTTGATATCCCAGGAACGAGTGCGTAGTTCAGCACAGGGCCCGCCCTAGCTCCGCTCGACGCCACCCGGCCCGGGGTAGATGCCTCGATATCGACAACGCGTTGAGACCTGAATGCGATGATAAGGCGCGAGTGGGAAGTGAGCCACTATGCGCACATCGTACTTAAGGACCACATCCCAAAAATAATTTCGAGCACCCGGAAGAGCGTCGAAAGAGTGTCTCCCGGGGCCCGACACGTGAAAACCCTCGAAGTGAGCCATACTGAGCAAGGCGCTGAAGTGGGACGGCGCGAGCAGGAGCAGCAGTGAAGACCGGGGCGGTCTTCGGGGTGGCGAGCCCAAGGCCAGCTGCACGGGGAGAGAGACGGCAAAGCATGCAAGAGCAATGCGAAGGGATTGATAAAGGTTGTGGGAGGAGGAGGAGGAGGAGGAGGAGGAGGAGGAGGAGGAGGAGGAGGGGGAGGAGGAAGAGGAGGAGGAGAAAGGAGGAGGAGGAGGAGGAGGAGGATGAGGAGGAGGAGGAGGAGTCAGAGGAGGACGCAGAGGAGGACCGCCCCCCTTTGCCGCTGCTCCAACGGGTCCTCCCTGAGCTCGTCGGCGCCCAGGAGCCGCGGGGGGGCCGCGGTGGTGTCCTCGGAGCACTGGCCTCGGGTGCCGGCGGCGGGGCCGCCGTCGGGCCGAGAGGGGATCTTCCGCGCCCGCTTTTTGTCCGGGCGTTGCCAAAAGTGGCCCTGGTCCCAGGTGCCCCCAGGATTCCCAAGGAGGCCCCCACGGCCTGCAGGGCACCCCTCACGAGGCCCGATGGGGGCCCGAGGGCTCCGAAGTGAGGCAAAAAGCTGGGAAGACCTTGGGCCGGGGGCCACTTTAGCACCCCCCGACGGTTGCCTACATCCTCTTCCTCCATCGTTCCTCCGTCGCTCCTCCTCCTCCTCCGTCGCTCCTCCTCCTCCTCCTCCTCCGCCTCCTCCTCCTCCTCCTCCTCCTCCTCCTTCTCCTGCTCCTTCTCCTCCTCCTCCGCCTCCTCCTCCTCCTCCTCCTCCGCCGCCTCCTCCTCCGTCGCCTCCTCCTCCTCCCCCATTGGGTAGGGCGGACTATTGCTTTACATGCTGCCTTGTTTGTCGGCATCGATTAACTATTGTTGCATGTGATTGCGTTGCACGACGTGGGATAGAGACAAGCGTTCGCTCCCAGGCAACAGAGCCGCACGAGGCGACGAGGGAACAGACGAAGGCCCGAACATCCGGCGAACACAGTTCACTCAAAATGATCCCTCCTAGTTCGCCGTGGCATCAATTCAACTGTTCACAACTGCTGCCCCTTCTTGCCTTGAGGAGTCGACGCGGTGAAGAAGTCGCTCCTGCCCTGCTCCTCGTTCGACGACTCCCTTTGCCCCCCCTCCCTGTGCCCCAGCGCGTGGCCCGCCCTGTGTACTACGGCGACGCTTGCCTCGCTTACCGCGGCGGCCTCAAGGAGGTGGGTAGGAGGAAGAGGACGGGGCATCAAATCAGTTGAAGGGTTCTGGGTCCCCATGTTCCCAAACCGTGTTTGCGCTTCGGGGTTCTTCGTTTGATTCTGGAGAACTGGGCCTGGTTGACGGTCTGGCGGCTATGTCTTCGCAGTGGCAGCCCCGTGGCCGCCTCGTGGCCGCCTGGGCCCGATTGTCGGTGGCCGCGCTTGTTGACGCCGTCGCCGCCCGTCGCCGCCTTCCATCGCTGACGCTTCTGGGCATGGCTGCCGGTCGCCGTATTTGACATCGCGGTCACCGCCTCGTCTCGACCGCGTGCACTGCACTGCGCTGCAAGACATCGGTTGCTTCGCAGCAACTACCCGTTCACTTTTCAGGGACCTACTTGCTCCCCACGGGGTTCTCGACACCCCCTGGGAGTGTGCAATTCGCACACGGCTCTGCCATAACAAAATTTCCAACTATGAAGCCGTACAGTCCAAACCAGGCCAGCACGACCAACCCCTCCCGTCCTCGTCAAACACTACTATTCGTGCGCACTCGTTGATCAAACGATCATCCATTAGAAAAATATATTGCTACAGCTGTGGCGAGGTGCGCACGCGCGCGTCGTCGCGCGCAAACACCTTAATGAGAATTTGAGAACCGAATCCCGAAAGTATGTCGATAAAAACACGTATGGTGCTGCACCATGCTGCTGTCAAAAAATGCTCGCGTTGTTGCGAACCCTTCCGGGAACCGTGCGTCAACAGGTTCATCAACTGCGACCAAACAGACGTTGCGCGCGCATGGCGAAATCATTCGAACGCCCCTGCGCGCGTGCTCGTGGGCTGCCGGGGGTGGGCAGTTTAGTGCCGTGCTACGCAGATCAGAGCAGGACCTCGCCATCCCCGGGGGCTGCGATCTCCGCAACTGTCGGCACTTTCGAAGGCTGCTGGAGGGGCAGCTTAGTGCGTACTAAGCGGATCAGAGCGGGACCTCGCCGTCCCTGGGGTGTTGCGATCTGCGAAAAACTGTCCCCACTTTCGAATGGGCTGCTGGGGGGGCAACTTAGCGCAGTGCTAAGCAGATCAGAGCGGGACCTCGCCACCCCTGAGGGCTGCGATCTGCGAAACTATCGCCACATTCGAGGACTGGTGGGGGGGGCAGCTTAGTGCGGTGCTAAGTAGATCAGGGCCTCGACATCACTGCGGGGCTGCAGTCTGCGAAACTGTCGCAACTCTCGAGGGCTGCTGCGGAGGGGGGGGGGGGCAGTTCAGCACGATGCTGAGCAGACCTGATCGGTGCCTCGCCATGCCTGGGGGCCTGCAATCTGCGAAACTGTCCCCACTTTCGTTGGGGCTGCTGGGGGGGGGCAGCTTAGAACAGTGCTAATCGGATCAAGACGGGACCTCGCCATCCCTGGGGGGCTGCGATCTGCGAAACTGTCGCCGCTTTCGAGGGCTGCTGGGGGGGGGCGAAATTAATGCGATTCCCGCACAAATCAAAGTGGGACCTCGCCATTCCTGAGGGGCTGCGATCTGCGAAACCGTCGCCACTTTCGAGGAGTGCTGGGGGGGGGCAGCACAGTGACATCCAACCCGGACTCAAGCTAAACATCACCATCCTTGCGGGGCTGCGATCCGCGAAACTGTCGCCACTTTCGAGGGCTGCCTGAGGGGCAGCATGGTGACGTCCTGCCCAGATGTAGACTCGACCTCGCCATCCCTACGGGGGCTGCGATCTACAAAGCTGCCGCCACTTTCGAAGGATGCTGGGGGGGCAGCGTAGTGACGTCCTGCCCGGAGTCGGACTAAACCTCGCCATCCCTGGGGGGCTGCAATTTGCGAAACCGTCGCCACTTTCGAGGGCGGCCGTGGGGGGCAGTACATGGACGTCCTACCCGGAGTCGGACTAAACCTCGCCATCCCTGGGGGGCGGCGATCAGCGAAAGAGTTGATACCTTTGAGGGCTGCTCGGGGACCCACCATAGTGACGTCCTACCCAGAGTCAGATTCGACCGGCGTCGCGGGCATCGCGGACCAGCCCGCGCGCGGCGCACAGCGCCGCGGGCGCCCTGCCCACCTTTTCCTGTTTGTCAGCCCTCGCCCCTTGGCCCCTCTCAACCCAGGGAGCGAACTAACCACCCGAAACAATTGTCCGTTGATCGGTGTCCTGCGAGTCGTGCAGTTCGCGAGCGTCCCGGATGCCGTCCGCAGGAACGTATACCTCGAAATGACACTCAACTATTATGGCCACGCGTTGCGCAATGGTTGGGCGTCGCCAGAGTGAGTCAACACTAAAACAAAATAGCGAAAGGGGGCCTCTCGCGCGCAACTGTCGAAAACGTCCGAACGTTTCTGCGCGCGTGCTGTCGCAAGAGTCCCTTGCAACAAAAACGACGGAGTGCACGCGCGCGACGCGTGCGGACATCCTTCAAAACCCTTCGGTCTCGTTCGGCTTTGAAAAAGGGCTGTCCCGAACAAGTGAAAACATGGTTTTGAAAACACTGTTTTGAAAAAGTGCGTGCGCACGCGCTCTGGCGAATTCTTGGGAAACCCACAGGTTGTTCAACGTGCCTTTTCGCACCGCATGTCAAACTCATCTTTGCGTCCTTCGGCGCGTGCTGGGGGGCATGATCCGTGTCAAATAATTTCGCGCGGGCAACTCGCGCGCGTCGGCCGCGCGCGCACGTCGAACTCCTTCCAAACCCTTCATCGCCGACGCGAGGACATCGTCATCGTTATCGCCAGGCGTGGTTAACATCGGCGGCCGTCGTTGGCCTGGCCGTCGTCATCGCCACCATCGCCGCCGTCATCGCTACTTTCATCAACGCATCTACCGTCGTCGGCGTCGCCACGATACCGCGCCAACTCGCGTCACCGATCCACACTGAAGTGCCGGCTTGATGTGCCCAGCGGTTAGCACCACCGCGGCCGCGTCGGTCGCGCCACACTAGCTGGTCGCTGCGCGCGCGAGCACGCGCGGACTAGCGCGGCCGAAAGGATGCACCAGCCAACGCCACGCACTCATCGCAATCGACGTCGCATGGGTTTTGTTAACCAAGTTTCGGGTGGGCGGGTGGGATGTCTGCGCGAAGAGGGGAGTTGACATCTATAATTTCGGCAAAGCGACACATAGACTGCAGAACCTGCGTAAATTGCGCACCGCCTAAATTTTCCTTGCTGTCAAAAAATTTGGATATACCTCCCCGCCCCCCCTTCACCGGACTTAACGGCACCCCTTGTCGAATTGCAAGTTATATGCGTCTCTGGTCCATCGCCCATCCTGAATATGAACTCCTCCCACCAAAAGGAGGCCGGATATCGCCTCCCCCATCCTCTGCAGAACGAATTCTACGCTCGCACTTGTTGATCAAAAACCATCCGTTCCCAAGACTCCTTTTGCAACAGACTGAACGAAACGCACGCGCGCGTCGTCGTTTGCGCATGCCGGATTCCTTTAGACACATCAGGTTTCGCAGGAATTTCAAAACCGAGGTTCCCGACATCATCTAAAAAACACATGGCTACGCAACAAAGGGCTTCTACTAAGCAGCGCCCGCGCTCTGGCGAATCCTTCATAAAGCATTCGTGTGTTCAACATGTTCATCGCATGCTACTAAGCGGTCCTTTCGCGCGCGCATGTCGAAATCGTTCGAACGCCTCTGCGCGCATGCTGTCGCAAGAACCCTTTTGCAGCGAATGGGGCGAGGTGCGCGCGACGCGTCGTTGCGCGGGCATGCTGACATCCCTCAAACATCTTCGGCGTCGTCAAAATTCCCCCTCCCAAAAAAACGAACACCCGAAAACATATACGAAACATGGTTTGGCACCCGCCGTTACCAAAAAAATTCTGCGATCGCGGTCTTGTGGCTTCTGGCGAGAATCACAGGTGTTCCAACGCTTTCATCAGATTTTGCCAATCGGGCCTTTCGGGCAAATTCGGGCGTACTTGCGCGCGTGCTGGGGGGGGGGGGGGCACGATCCGTGTCAAAAAACACCACGCGGGCCAATCAAACACGTCGGCCGCGCGCGCATGTCGAATTCCCCCCAAAACCTCCATCGCCGACGCGAGGACATCGTCATCGTTACCGCCAGGCGTGGTTAACATCGGCGCCGTCATTGGCGTTGCCGTCGTCATCGCCACCATGGTTCACATCACCGCTACTCTTTTAGTCATATCTACCATTGTCGACATCG